TTTAAAAAAAAGATATTTATTTACTCCATATCAATCTTATTGTCAACATTGAGAACAATTCTTGGAACCTAGAAGGTACCGGCATCTCTCAACAGAATATCCAATTTTATGCTTCTCAAGTCCAAAGGTTGCCGGTAAAGACGAATTCTTCGCCTTCCAGTAGTGCCGGTGTAATCGCTCAGTATGCTCTGCATATCTGGGATAGCCAAGAAAAATCGCATCCGAATCGAAGTCGAAAGCAACCACATGCATATCTCCATTTGACGACTTCTCAACCATGCAGCACTCATCATTATCTTCTGAGTCCTCAACCCCGATCTAACCACATATCAACTCGCCTCGCCGACCGATAAAGGCCTCACCCCAATTGCAAACAGGAGCTTGCCTCATTAATTACCGGCCATCACTCTCTACATATTTACGACGCTATTTATACCCGCAAGGAGGAAATCAAGTCGAAAAATACAAAGTTGGGGTCTTGGTTTATGGGGGACTGCTGCTCTAATGGGGCTATACATCTTGGGGAAGAACAAGCGGCTGAGATGTGGAGCGAAAGGGGAAAGAGGTCTCTGAAGACCATGCTGGGACTGACATTTTCGAGGAGTTTTCAACTTTGGATTTTTTGTGGGCGCCAAGACCAAGATTTCGGCTAATTAGCCTGGAGGGCTTCTTTTGTCGATGAGTCAACGGCACTCCCCAGCGCCCTGGACGGTACAAAAGAAGTTAGGCTAAGCTACCATACAGCAATCACGCTCTGTCAAGACTTTTCTGACATTTCAGCACGACCTTCGGGAAGGAGTTGGAAGGAGGCTAGAAAGGCAGAGCGTGAATTTCCCGGGGTATCCACAAGTCTGCAGCGCCCACCTAGCCGGCCCTTCAAACGCTTCAGAAGGGTTACTATGTCTTCGGATTTAGTCCTAATGTCGGTATTAGGAGAGCCCCGCACCCAGTGGTTTTTGCGAATTTTCCCGGCTGCCATATACCCGCAAATGGCCATCCTTTCGTTTGCTGGAGAGGGGAGATACTGAAGGGCAAAGGGCTCCTCTTAGTGTATGATCGAATGAGGACTTGTGAGGGCTCGTACTTTTTGAGGGGAGCTGTATGGGGGGGGGGCATAGGAGGGGATATACTACTGGTATAGGTATCCTTGGCCTGTAGGCAGAGAGGACCTGCATGTCCTACATAGTCATAGACTCAGATAGGACAATAAAATGAATTAATAATAATAATAATAATAATAATAATAATAATAATAATAATAATAATAATAATAATAATAATAATAATAATAATAATAATAATAATAATAATAATAAGTCCAAAGGTTTATCGATCGGAGTGCTTCTTATGTGCAGAAGTACCCACTTCTTTGCTCGTCCCAAACCCCAATCTCTTTATCCAAGCTACGCACAATGGTACTCCAGGCAAATAATGACACAAGGTATTACCATATAGTTTGTTCCTTGACTTTCGGCAGACAAAGCCAAAGCAGCTGTAAATAGGTTTTGAGGCCAAATCTCACGCGGAGGCTATGTACAAAGTGGTAATGTTATTTTAAGATAACCATAGGTTTTTCTCGTTTTCCCTTTGATGGATATTAACAGTTAAAGGAAGTGTGAAAGTTCCCAGCATAAAGTTGTCGAATGGTAACAGCGAGTGCACCTACTAAGTAAGTGCTCCAAATGTCAAATTGAGTTATCGTCGTATATAATCTTCGGGGAAGGAACAGACTTCTCTGTGTCATGCTCTACGAGTGCTAGGCCTGTGTCCATCACGAATAAATATTCATCCAGCCGTAAATAGAACGTAAGGTTAGAGAAGATTTGCGGCTCAAGAGACCTGCACGTGGTGAGGATCTAAGATTGACAGACCTCTAGATTAGTACAAAGCCCTCACAAATTGTAATCCTTACATAATGTTGTTCACGTTGGAGCCCGGGCGCAAGAGAAGGAATACTGTACTTATATAGACGATACCCTGTATTAATGGAAAACCAAGTTACATCTAGTCTTAGGCTCTACTTTACATATTGGTAGATTGGAGCCACGAGACACCCGTAACCTACGCCATCTTAAAGCTAAGCTTATCCCACTTTTCACACTTACTAATCCATCAGGAACCTCAGTGGTGTGGGATCTGTACGACCGGGAGAAAACAAAGTTTTGTTCGAGCGATTTTCTCGTGGCTCTGACTAGTAGATAAAAGTATGAGTAGAGCTTGAGAACAGAATTACACAAGAATTATTTATGATTTAGGATCACTAACATATTCAGAGGGGCTAATTCTTAGTTCCTGGCTGCAGCGTCTCTTACGAGCCTCCAGCTCTAACTGTTGAGTCTCCAGAGCCGAGGTTGAGTGACACCGTCCTCAATTTTTTTTTTTACATCGGAATTTAATTAGTTATGCAGCTATCTAGCTATTTCACAATATCAGAGAAGTGTATAATAGATGACTCAATCTAAAAGTAGAGCACTCATGCCTCAGATTTCTTTCGCAAGTACCAATGCGAAGTTATGGTGGCTTTTTCTTCATCCCAAGTCAACCTTCATCCGTGAATACCCACCCAGAGGAACGCCTCAAAAACCCTGAGTTTTCCAGACATGCCTCTATTGTCCATTGATTTTTCTCCGCGCGAAATGTGATCTGAGATGTCTCCTTCCCAAATGGAGTAGGTGCCCAGGCTACTCAGACTATACCGGAAAACACCACCAGACGGCGGATCAAGGAACCTCTCATCGTTTGCTTGCCTTTATAGTGTCAGTTCAGGTGTCATAGCTAGATAGCTGAATACACATTAAATGATTCAAGAATAAAAAAAATAGTGTCAGTTGCACACTCGCAAGGGAAGTCTTGGCGCGCACTAAGCCTAATACGCAAAGCTCCTTGCCACAATTCAAAATTTCACGCCTGTCCTTATTGTATCCATCGTCTGCATCATCATGTGAACTTGTCCTAATTCCTCCCATGTACATCACAAAGAACTATCTCTCAGATTTGTACGCCACGCTTTACTTCATCGGCCGGGTGCAAATATTGGCGTTGGCGTGTATTTGGTGGTCAACTGAGGCCAGAGAAAGTTGACGAGGATGTGGTCGTCGGGATGAGGATGTACTTGGTAGTACTTGTAGACTTGATCAGACTTAGGTAGGAATCGGACTCGTTGGGAGTGAAAATTTGACATGGAGTAATTTGAGTTATTGCCTAGTGGGCCAACTTCTTTGATATTGTGAAATTTGACTGAACCTGGCCCTGGAAGAATATTTCTCTGCCAGGTTTGTAGAGGACACCGCGCACGGGAGTTCAAACTTGCCCTACTCGTCTTCACTTCGATGAGGATTCCTAGTGGAGGGCAAGACTGAACACCTGTACGCGGTGTCCTCTACGAACCTGGGAGTGAAATATTCTCCCAGAGCCAAGTTCAGTCAAATTTCGCAATATCAAAGAAGTTGGCCCACGAGGCAAAAATCCAAGTTACTTATCCACGTCGTTATTTCGCTCCTAACGAGTTTGACTCCTATCTTCGTCTCATCAAGTCTACAAGTACGACCAAGTACATCCTCATCCCGATGACCACACCGCTCTTCGACCTTCTCTGGCCTCAGTTGACCGCCAAATACACGCCCACGCCGATATTTATACCCGACGGAGGAAGCAAAGCGTGGCGCACAAATCTGGGAGATAGTTATTTGAGATGGACTTGAGAGGAATCAGGATAAGTCGACATGATGATACGAAGGAAGGATAAAACCTCGACGGGCGTGAAATTCTGAATTTTGGTAAGGAGTTTTTCGAATTGGGCTTTGTGCGCGCCAAGACTTCGTTTGCGAGAGTGCAGTTGACACTATAAAAACAAGCAAACGATGGAAGGTGTTGTGGTCCGCCTCCTGGTGGTATTCTCTGGTATAGTTTGAGTAGCCTGGGCACCTACTCCACTTGGGAAGGAGACATCTCAGATCACATATCGCGCGGAGAAAAGTTGAAAGATGATGGAGGCATGTCTGGATAACCCAGGGTTTTTGAGATGTTCCCCTGGGTGGGTATTCACGGATGAGGGTTGACTTGGGGTGAAGAAAAAGCCACCATAACTTCGCAGTGGTACTTGCAAATGAAATCCGAGGCATGAGTGCTCTTCTTGTAAATTGAGTCATCTATCATACACTTCTCTGATATTGTGTCATAGCTAGATAGCTGCATACGCAATTAAAATCTGATGCAAAAAAAAAAAAAAAAAAAAAAAAAAAAGAGGATTCCTAGTCGCTTTCGCAGCTAAATCGTATTCATCTATCAACACATTCCCCTATCACCATTATCATGAAGCTAACCACGATCAGATCAGATGGTAGGGTCGGAGTCCTACTCATCACCAACCCTTGATCATGGAGGAGAAGCCATCCGATGAGTTTCCGGAGCGTACCCAGCACCTAATACGGAGATGGTGGATTGGATCAAGATGGCCTCGACTGTTACAAAGAAGAGAGATATAGATGAATATGCGCACCTCGTGTGGTCACGGTGTCTAGGTCTCGCCTGGCTGGGGCTGCAGGTTTTCTTGAGACTTTATCCCGCGCACGCAGTTTCCATTGCTACCATTTTTTTTGGGGGTGAAGGTTCCGTGGAGGATGTAGCCGAACTCCACGGGTTAAATCTAAGGTGAATGGTTACTTATCACGGGCAATATATCAATGATCTTCCATTTAACAAGTGGCAAGGAGTACTGTCCAAGCTGTAGTCTAGGTTGGAGATATGACCAATCTGAAAGATAGTCTATGATTCAAGTAGCACAATAATCAGAATCATAAATCAATTCACCTGATCGGACTGATCACAACTTTTGTCATGTTTTCTCTTCCTTGTTTCCTACAGCAGAAGCCCCACTTTAATTATGTTTCATTGCTACAGGTTATATGGTTTTCATGATAAAATTACTACTCCACCCATACCCCGGTTACACATTTGAGCCCAGAAAATGTTTAAATGACGAGTAATCTCTTACATACTTGTTATAATTCATCCTTCTCACTGGTGCCAGATGATTTAGTTGGCCTGTTGCTATCTTGTTGAAGGTCGACTCCATTCTTCTTCCGCCATTCTTCCCAAAGAGACCATATATCTTCTTCGAATTTTTTCTCCATCTGATCAGGCAATACTACAGTGTACTCGACATAGAGATCACCATAATCGGTCGAATGATATACACTATCTCCATTTTCATGCCACTTTGGCATTCCCTCTCCTTCGATGCGTTGCACCTGCCCTGGCTGAACAACTTCACCTCGAGACCGGCTCAGTGTAACTATGTGTTCATCCAGATGAGTTAGATTTCGAGTCCATGAGCCGAGCCAGGCTTCCCTTAGAGATAAAATCTCTTTCCAATAAAGATCGTCACCTCTGCGGCGAAAGAATACACCATCAACTCTTGATTCTAGATCATCTTCAATAGCTGGTTCTTTTTCGATGACTTTGACGTAAAGATCACCCGCGATGTAGTCTGGGCTTTCGTCCGCCTCGTTCTCAAATACTACTACCTTCCCGCTTGGCATGCCTTTTTCCACGTTTAAAGAAAATGTAGTCTCTTTGCGAACCACACGATTTCCATGACAAACCGGGCACTTATTTTTGATAGTTTTCCCTTGCCCTCTACATGTGTCACATGTCACCTGCATTTGTTGGTATATACCAGGGGCTAACATTTTTTTCTTGAGCTGAATGCCATGCCCATTGCACGCGTGACATGTGTCCACTTTGCCGTCTAATGATCCAGAGCCTCCACAATCGTCGCAGATCTGCTGTTTTTCGATCTTAAAATCGGTATTGCGACCGTTGTAGAAATATGATAGGGGTACTTCAACCTTAACTTCCATTGACGGACCCTGTCGCTGTCCTTGATTGTGTCCATAATGGCCACCACCGCCAAAAAAGCGCGAAAATAGATCCATGGGGTCATGGTGGTTCCCTCCACCCCCTTGTTGCCTTTGTTTTAGCCCTTCATATCCATATCTATCATATATTTTGCGAGACTCAGGATCAGAGAGGACCTCGTAGGCTTCGGCCACTTGAACAAAATTTGTTTTTGCTTCTTCGTTACCCCTATTACTGAGTCAACCAAATTCTAGAGAAATTATTTTGGGTAATAAAGTCTGAGGGGATAGTACTGATTTTTATCGGGATGGAACTTCTTGCTTAATCGTCGGTATGCTTGTTTCAAGTCTTGGTTTGAGGCTTCTTTGTGAACCTCTAAGCGCTAAGAATTATTCAGTCAATTTATTTTGGAATCGTTTCTCAGAATTAAATTCCCACCTCGTAGTAATCTTTATTGCAATTTACGATTTGCAGCAGGAAAAGCAGCACCAGCGATATTGTGGAGTACCACATTTTCATGATGCTGGAGAGCAATCACAAATTTATCAGTTCTATACGATCATGAGTATTGAAGCGAGTGAAAGAAAGGAAATAAAAATATTAACTGAAAGTATAAAGAATGTAGTTAACTTGGTTAAGTATTTATAATTTGATTAGTTTGGACACTCTGTCATCTTTCCAGAAGTGAGCTTTTTTTATTTTTTGGTCACGGTACCCGTTTTGCAACTCACGTCGCTGCTTAGTAAGGTTTCTTAGCAGATTGTCACCAAAGACCAAAGGTATCTAGTAGTACCAATCATTAACATCGACTTCAGCTTTCCCAGGGTTAGGACTATACAATAATTATCTCATACCTATTTCAAAAACTTTACAAGTTATGGGATCAAAGAAATATGCTTTTCTACCCATGGAAGATGAGGATCTAGGACCAGCGAGAGTCAAGAAGAAGAAGAAAGAAAAGCTTAGCCATCAAGGAAAGCAGTTGTCCGGCGAGACAATCAGCAGTAGTTTAAGCCGTCATTCCTCCCCTCGGCCTGAAGCCACATCCAAGCATGGCCCTAGATCTTACATTCGACACCGTCCGACCAATGAGGCACAATTTGATGAGCGCTGGGGTGATGAAGAACACTCAATACATGAGGAGCCGAATTTTCAGGAATCTACGCCTAAACGAATAAAGACTAATCATAAAGATGATAGTGAAGAGCTGAATGAGGAAGAACGGGAAAGGCGAAAAGATCAGGAAGAGAAAGAAGCTTTCTCGAGAAGGCTGGCTTCCAAAGATGCTGATAAAACAAAAAAATTAGTTGAGGATCGAAGCTCAGCAAAGCAAGGAAATATTCTTGCCCAAAGACGATTATTAGCTGAAAATGCAGCTGCAAGGAGTGCAGCCCTACCTGACTTGAGAGAAAGATCACGGCAAGAATACTTGAGTAAAAGAGAAACCGAAAGAATTGCCCTCTTAAGGAAGCAAGTTATAGAAGAGTCAGAAGAATTAAGAAGCAACCCAAGGTTAACAGATGGGGAGAAAGCAGAATTCGCAAAGAATCGTGAGGTTCTTCGAATTGCCGAAGAGCGGTTACGAATCGATGACCACTTGGATGGTTATGTTATACCTGAGGATTATATTACCGAGAGAGGGAAGATTGACCGCAAGAAAAAAGAGGATGCCATGTACAAGAGATATATTGAAAAAGATGAATATGGTCAAGAAAAATTTGTAACAGAACATGAGGAGTGGGAGAGAGAGCAAGCAGCTAAAGCGAAAGCCCAGATAAAGAGCTCCGAGCGAATTGACGGAGATTATGCTTATCTTCTAGATGAAGAACAAGGAATTAAATGGGTTATGGATTCCAGAATACCTGGAGAAGGAAAGGGAATGAGTAAGGAAGAGCGACTAATTGCTGAACAAATTCAAGCCGCCGAGAAGAAAGCTTTGTCGATGGAAGAGACTCGAAAAAGTTTACCAATTTATGCATACAGGGATCAATTTCTTGCAGCTCTAGCAGAATACCAAATCCTTATCATTGTCGGAGAGACAGGTAGTGGTAAAACTACCCAGCTACCTCAATACTTGCATGAATCTGGCTACACAAAAGGTGGGCAGAAAGTTGGATGTACTCAACCTCGTCGAGTAGCTGCCATGAGTGTTTGTGCTCGTGTAGCTGATGAGATGGGGGTTAAAGTTGGTAATGAAGTCGGATACTCCATCCGTTTTGAAGATTCTACGAGTGATAAGACGGTCTTGAAGTATATGACCGATGGTATGTTGCTGCGCGAATTTATGACAGAACCAGATTTGGGAGGTTACTCGGCACTAATGATAGACGAAGCTCACGAGCGAACTGTCCACACAGACATTTTGCTAGCTCTGGTCAAGGATCTTGCTAGGGAACGCCCTGAGATGAAACTCCTTATCTCTTCTGCCACTATGAACGCCACTAAATTTGCAGAATATTTTGATGACGCTCCGATTTTTAATATACCAGGCCGAAGATATCCTGTTGATGTTCACTACACTCCTCAGCCAGAAGCAAATTACCTCGCTGCAGCAATAACTACTATATTTCAAATACATACTACTCAAGGTAAGGGCGATATTCTTGTTTTCTTGACGGGGCAGGATGAGATTGAAGCTGCCGAACAGAACATTACTGATATCTCTCGGAAACTTGGAAGTCGTGTCCCTGAACTTGTCATCTGCCCAATATATGCAAACTTACCCTCTGAGCTTCAAAGTAAAATCTTTGAACCAACCCCTGAAGGCGCTCGAAAAGTAGTCCTAGCTACCAATATTGCGGAGACCAGTTTAACTATTGATGGTATTGTGTACGTTATTGATCCTGGATTTGTCAAAGAAAATGTTTATAACCCAGCTACTGGAATGTCAAAATTAGTGGCAGTTCCTTGTTCTCGTGCATCTGCAAATCAAAGAAGTGGACGTGCAGGGCGTGTTGGGCCCGGTAAATGTTTCAGGTTGTACACAAAGTGGGCTTTTATGAATGAAATGGAAGAAAGCACTACACCAGAAATACAGAGAACAAACATAAACAGCGTTGTCTTGCTTTTGAAATCTCTTGGTATTAATGACCTGCTAGAGTTTGAGTTCATGGATCCACCACCAACTGAAACATTAATTGGTGCATTAAACCAACTATTCGCTTTACAAGCATTGAACCATAAAGGTGAACTGACTAAGCTTGGAAGACAAATGGCAGAATTCCCCACAGATCCTATGTTGGCGAAATCAATACTAGCTGCTGATAAACTTGGCTGCGTAGAAGAAATTCTTTCAATTGTATCAATGTTGAGTGAAGCTTCAGCACTATTTTTCCGACCAAAAGACAAGAAAATACATGCCGACAGCGCCCGTGCACGTTTCACAGTTAAAGATGGAGGTGATCACCTCACCCTACTAAATATCTGGAGTCAATGGGTAGACTCAGATTTTAGCTTTGTCTGGGCTAAAGAAAACTTCCTGCAGCAGAGGTCACTTACAAGAGCAAGAGATGTCCGTGATCAACTGGCGAAACTCTGTGAGCGAGTTGAGGTAACGATGTCAACGTGCGGTGCAGCTAATGTAATACCGATACAAAAGGCTGTCACTGCAGGCTTCTTCTCGAACGCGGCGTGGCTCCAGAGGGGGGGAGATAGTTACCGCACTGTGAAGAATAATACAACCGTTTATATACACCCGTCCTCTGTATTGATGAATTCCAACCCTCCCATAAAGATGGTCATCTACTATGAGCTTGTTCAGACTACAAAAGAGTATATGCGGAGTTGTCTACCTATCAAATCAGAATGGCTTCATGAGGCTGCGCCTCATTTTCACAAGAAAAAAGACTTGGAAGCACTCGGAGAGAGAAAAATGCCAAAAAGCAGGATATAGGCGCTTGTACATTTCACAGGAAATAATGAAATAGATCACATCCATAAAAGTTCATTAGCCATTTAATTTATACAAACGGGATTAATTATATAATGTATTTTAGTATGGAATGGTTACATTCATTCACCTAACGAGCCTGTGATAATATGAGGTCATATCACACCTTTCTGACTACGGGCCAGGTGTATAAATAGCTCCTATAGTTGACTCCTAACGCCTCCTTCACGACATGTTTCCACCGATGATATTTTCACAGGCCTTAGATTAAGTACACTCCAAAGGGAGCTTCTATCCCGTCATTATCTCTCCTCTCAAACCAATAAAGTATTGCGGGCTTACCTACCACTGGTTATCTAGGCAAACCTGCGTGCCAAGCCTTACATGCAATCAAGATTTGTTGAAAGACTCAACCTTTGGCACGGAACAAGATCTTTTAATTCTGCTGATGTTATGTAATAGTCAGAGCACACTTTATTTGGGCACAATCCCGTTGAAGTTGTCTCTCACATAGAAGAATATTGATTATTTCAGGGGTTTGCTTGCGTGAGTGTTAATTCATTTTATTGTTCTTTCTGAGTCTATGACTATATAGGACATGCGGGTCCTCTCTGCTTACAGGCCAAGGATACCTATGCCAGTATTATATCTCCTCTTATGCCTCCCATACAGTTCCACTCAAATAGTACCGCCCCTCACAACTCCTCATGGCTTGCGTGCATAGACCGTCTGGTTTCTTCGTTTGCAGAAAGCAAGACCATTTACAGGTGTAGCTTCAGAAAGTTTTGTGTATCATGGTTCAGATCTTGACGTATGAGTGTAGGTAGACTTAAATATGTTATACTTGGGCACAACTCATGCGTGAGAGTGCAGGAGACACTATAAATACCGATATGGTTGGATGGTGCAGCGGTATATCGTCTTGGCGGATTTGCCACGTGAAGTCTGGATAGCCTGGACACATGTCCCACTCGAGACAGTAAATCGCCGGTTTAAATCCGGCAAAACACAACCACTTTTCTCGCGGTGCTGATATACATGGATGACGAAAGCATCCTTGGATAAACAAAGGGGTTGAAACGTCCCTTCGGTGGGTACTCACGCAGGAGGGTTGACTGTTTGTGTAAGCAAGCATACCTCATGATGGTATTTGCAAATGAAAACCAGAGTATGAGTATCTCCAACGTCAAAAGAGTCATCCCACATGTATGCATAGCACCGATCATGTGTCATAGCTAGATAGCTGCATACACATTAAATGATTTAAAAAAAAGATTTATGGTATTAGCAAGTTGAAGGACTCGGACGAGAAAGGTAGGTTCAAAATTTATGAGAATTAGCGTTTCCTAAGTATACCTGAGATTGCTTTCGCTTTCGATGAGGATGCAATTTTTCCAGGCTATCCCAGACATTGTTGCGAAACCTACTTTGACACTCCCTCTGCTTGTATTTATATTTATTTATTTATAATTATTTAACGTCGTGCTAGCTCACAACACACACAATTTTTTGAAATTCGAATTTTCGAATTATCACCTTTTTCCCGTCTCCCTCCCTCTCGCGATCGTCGCATTCTATCAAAAAATTGTGATCGAGTCACTGGCATTTTCACCATGCCACCTGTTCGAAAAAAGCGTCCCAACGCCAAGTTGGACAACACGAGAGTCCACCCGATGGGTCTTGAACAAGAACCTGGCCTTGCCCAGTCTCCGAAATGCGCGGAGATGAGCAAGGTCTCAATCAAAGGGAAGGAAAAAGCCCTCCCCGCCATCACTGAGCCCGATACTGACATGATCGGGTCAGTCGAAATTGTTGAGGAAATTCCTCAACGAACCTCCGTCCCCCACGGGATTGGAGAATCGTCCACACCTCCTCTGGCCACCTCAAAACCGTCGGAAAACGCTGCACCCATAGCAGCGTCAACATCAACGTCGCAGCCAAAAGCTGCCACGAAAGCAGAGTATCCCCTCGAGCTCCGACCAATAGTCGAAGCCGAAAAACGACGCGCCGCCGAAATAGCGGCAAATCTGGCCCTCTGCTCCGCCGCCATCTCTGGCGTCGAAGCCACTCTCCTCCCTTTGACCAACGGGTCAAATAGACAATTCGTAGACTCCATGAGAGTTTACCTACGCGCCGCCATTTCGCAATACATGGCCACGGGCCCGGCCACCACGCCACCCGTCCTCCCGCCTCGCCCGACAAACCCTCTCCCAAGGGCTCCCGACGCCAGGAGACAAACAATACCCACCGTCCCAGCTCTGCCTGTCAAAAGCACCTGGGCCACGGTGGCCAGAAACGGACTGCAACAAAAAGCAGGCCCAACTGTGAAGGCTGTGCCGCGACCTGCGGCCAAAGCCCAACAAAAAGAAAACCCCAAGGCGAAAGTCGACAAGCGACTGTTCCTTCGCCTTGAATAGGACCACCCTTGGCGAAAACTGTCCACAAGCAGTGTGTGATCTAAGTTGGAGTATATATTTGGCTACTTTAACCAAGAAATAAACTCACACCATCGAGTGAGAACGGGCTTTGCTATGCTAGCAAAGGACGAAAAAACACGACAAGAGATGCTAGATAGCTCTTCGAAGCTGGCGAGTCATAACGTCAAACTCGAGGCATCTTCTGATCTTGTCGCCTTACAGATACCGAACGTACCTGTAAGTATAGTTATAGTGTGCGGTACCAGGACGGTCGATGCTAGCTGGGTCTCTGCCAAGATTCTCGGTACGACCGGCGCGATACCAATCCAGGTCCGACCTCATGGGACATGTCGACCTGGGGCACCGTATCAGAACTGGCATGCCCTTTTCACGCGGGACAACGCCCCTCGTGCGGGCTTCCGCCTCTTCGACGAGTCTGATATGGCAACCATTCACAAGCCTCGTCGACAAATTGAACAGTGTAAACGCTGTTTGGGCTTCCACGCCACTCGTGGTTGCTCCCGCGCTCCAGCCTGCTGGAACTGCGGCTCCAACATGCACTCGGAAGCCGAGTGCAAGGCCCTCACTAAGTGTCGCAACTGTGGGGGACCCCACCGATCGGATTCTCGGGACTGCAAAGTCAGACCCAGAAAGTCTGGGCCGGTGACAAAAGAGCAGCTCGCATGGATACGCCACCTCGAGCAAGGGAAGTTTGCGGAGGCGGCTCGAGCTAGGGCCGCAGCCAAAAAGGCCGAAGAGGCGATCGTCGCCGCGGCGAAGGATGTGTCAATGGCCGAGGCAACAGGTTTCGGAGTGCTGGGACCTGAAGAAGAAGTTTGAGGACACAGCAAACTCGACGATGTCCCCTTCTGGAGCATCTACTAACAATTAGCAGGATACCGGCTGGATCAAAGGTGCCTGCTAACTCATCTACTGCTCTCAGCGGAGATTAAGAAAATTTGTCATTTGGAAGGTGTGACGGACAAGGAGATGTGTGAGGAGCACATTGACTGGGTCCATTATGGAGGAATCTTCTGGTTTTTCGGAGTTTTGATTTTCTTGATTTTTCGTTTCTGTCTAATCAGCTGCATTTTTGGTAGCGATTCATGAGGTTGGAACGAGTTAGGCTGTAGGAAAGATTACAGGGAACCCTGCCGGCTCCACCTGTCCTTGACCCAATGTGGGAAACATAGCTTTGGCTTAGGACAAAATAAACAAAACAAAACAAAACAAAAAAACAACCTTGAGGCCTCGTGTTGGTCAGCTCAGTCTACATAAACTACCCAACGTGCCGATACCTTTAAATAAGCCTGCATTTTATAAATGGGCCAAGGCCTATCTATAAGGAAATGGTTAAACTGTCCTTTGCAGCTATTGATGGTGACATGAATTAAGATGATGATTGTGATTGAGATAGATTTCTATATATTTTATAATACATGATATGCTCAGGTTCTTATACCTCGAGCCAAGCAATCAGATTATGTTCCTCCAGATCTAGATTCATTAGAATAATTACTTACTCAGTAAAATTCTCCTAGTCTCAGTTGTGTGTTTAGGATCTTGATTAGGTTTCTAGTAACTAGTCAATGATGTTTCTCATATCACTGAGACATAGTCATGGTTGATACAACAGGTACAAACGATGAGTCGTGCCTGTACATGACGTTGTGATATAGTCACGATCGTCTGAACAATATCAACTCATGAATGAATCATGTCTCTACACGACACTATCCCTCTGCTTGTAGTTTCAATATGCGTCCATCGAGTTTGGCGGGTGTCACCTGTCCGATACTAGTCAGACCATCACCCTTAGTCACGTCTGATATTCGAGACTGCGACGAGAATACGCGTAACTGGTATCAGATCTGAAGTTTGTTCTTTTGTATCCCGTAATGAGACATTACACTCTAGCCCATGTCATTGCTAGACATAAATGTATATAAACAGTCTCATATCCTTCATTAAAGATCAAGACTTTCGATCAAGCCTTTACTGTAAAAATAATTTACATTTATGGATACCCGTCAAAGTTTATACTTTATTTTTTCTCCGTCATCACTCCAGAGTTTTGCATGTTCTTAGTTTATTTTCAACGTATATGCAGAGCATGCTGATCGATTACACCGGCACTAATAGAATGTGAAGAATCTTCTTTGCCGACCTTCGTAGTCATAGACTCAGGAGGGACTTAGAATTAACTCTAATCTATAATTTAACGCTTTGAAGTAACAAGTCAATACCTATGAGATCCTTTAGTCACGAAAAAAGATAAACGAATCAAATGAGATGAGTTCTCATCAGTCATAGAGATGGTCTATTTTTATTTATTATATTGAATTATGAAGTAAATATTGATCTCTCAGTCATTGAGGTTGAAAAGCCCACTGATGAAGGTAAATACCGAAGTGAAATTATCTACAGAATATGTAGTCACTTGTGTATCAATAACGCGGCCTACTTGATAGCCCCAATTATTCTAAATTCTGGCATGAATCTATTATTTGCCGTCTGTCTGACTCTGCCACAGCACGGATGTGTGAGGTCTTTCAAAGGAATACCAGTAGATAATTATCTTTGGAGTCCTATGTCAAGTTATTTGCTTGTATCAATTATCTATTCTTGATCATCCACCGGTTCAAAATTCCTCATGCTGATAAGCTAAATCATGACACATAAATTTTGCGTACATTGGAAGCCAATTTCACATTTCACATTTGAATTTTGTTTGATTAGTCTTTTTGTGCCTCTAACCTGTTCCTCTTGGGATCATATACCTGTGGACTGAAGATTAGAAGCTCAGTGGAATAGTAATTTAAGCTTTGGTTGAAAATAAGAAAAGATGAAATTGAAACTAGAAGTTTATTATATTGTAAAATTAGTTCGCTACGATGCCTGGTAAATAGCCCATTTACCTCAATTTCTCAGCCAAAGAGCCAACGAACACTTCAGTTAATTACATGTATCAGAATAATTATGTGATATCAAAATTCTAAAATATCAGAATGAGAGGAACTATTCTCTTTTGTTTTTGTTCACTCGGTCATGTCGCCGTCAATATCCTCATCTAATACATTATCATCTTCTTCCTCAATATCTTCATCATCGTCATACATCATTTTACTGATAGTGTATGATTCCCCGTCTATATTACCCGCAGTATTATTTTCTGCATCATCATCGGATCCTATTACATCGTTTGGGTCGGCCGTGTGTCCCCGAAGAATATTTACATCGTCTAAGGTCGCATTGAGAAGGGCGTTGGCTTTCTTTTCTCCACATTGACTTTTTCCCTTTACATTCCTTTGACTCCAAAGTGTGCTTTTCATGATTTTTCCTCTACTTCCGGGCCCAAATGGTACTTTTTTAGGTCTTCCTCCATTTCTTCCTGATTTAGAATTTGCGTCTACTCTACTTTTCCACTCTATATCTTCTCTATCCATTTCTTTCAGACGTTCTTTTGCCATCTCTTTATCAGCTTCTTCGACTGTTTTCTGCTTAAGCTTCTTCTGTAACTCGGTCCTCTCCTGCGATCGCCTTTCTTCGAAAAGCGATCGGAGTCTCCGCGGTGGTAGGCGTGGTTTTGCGTTAATTGTCACGCTGTCCAACTCATTGCGCTTCTCTTTAGCCAAAATAATACGTTCAAGGAACAGAGCTTGATCTTTTCGTTGCTGACTTGCAGCGTGACCAACCGGTATTAAAACTTTATCTCGTCCACGGGGCTTGGCAATACTATGCCTAGTAGTCTGTTTTGGTGTAAGCTTTACTGATTTAGCAATAAGACGCGCCGTACTGCTGGCGAGTAAATCGACATTTCCTCGCAATGTGCGCAGCTTGGGTAGAGGTTCGAACCCATCCTCAGCATGAGGACTAAAAAGAAATTCCGTTCCGATGTTTTCTGCCCAATTGCAAGCATAGACATGCCCATCGTATGCCACTATAGGAAGGTCCGACTCTAGATCAAGGATCTGCACAGATTTCATCTCTGTAGGATTATTTGTTATTTCGGTTTCAGCAACAATTTCTCTTTCGACGTCACTTCCTTTCACTATGTCATCATTGTCAACTAGCGACCTCCTTCCGTCAAGAGTGTATGTTTTCGCAACGCGATTAGCAGGTGGCATAGGAGTTTGTCTTCGATGACGACCGATACTCGGATTTAGCCACCTGGTCTTCTTGCGGATAGTATCGTCAAAGGGGGGGTGAGTAGGTGGCACGTCTGGAGTAGTGAGGTCGATGGTCAAGTAGTATGTCTATGCTATAAATCAGTATTGATTGGTACTATCGGCGCGATCTACCTCTGTTTCTGTGGTTGAGTATTCGTATTCCCACTCAAGCTCATTGGTTTCATCCAAAGAGGTTGTACAAGCCGCGGCGAATGGTTCCTGCGTTAACTGGTCAAAATTATTCTCTGTAAGTATATCAGAGTCCATCTTGAGGAATGTCAGCAATTATGCTGCATAATATTATTTTGCAAGTGATATAGCTCGTACGATGGAATCCCGTTACTTCGGGAAAATATCAACCCGTCGGGTTTGCCAATTCGTTCTCACGCGTCCTGTCTTGCTCACGTATATACACAAGGCTGTAATGGTCAGTAACACATGATTATATAATATACTCGTACGGTTAGAAAAGTTATTTCGATTTATCTTCAACTTCTTACTATTTTTCAGCCTGGTGTCATACATGACAGGGGCTATTTATTTCTTGCAAGCCAAGGATAAATGTACCCTGTGCGGTATATTGCCTGACCTTCGGGCCTTGTATTTTTTGCATCATATTTTAATTGCGTATGCAGCTGTCTAACTATGACACAATATCAGAGAAAAAGTACAGAAAAGATGACTCAACATATCGAGACTTGTATTAATATCGTAATGGGGGCGAATAGTTAATATTTTTCATTGTTATTCCTTACAAGTCTACAGCTGGGGGACAAAGATTTAACATCTATGCACGGTGTAACCACGAATTTGAGAGTTAGATTCTATCCCAGAGCCTAGTATGATCAGATTTCGCATCACCGAAAAAATTGGCCCATGAGGCGGCGATTCAAGACTGCTTAAAAATCAATCTTCAACCCAACAAGGTGCATTCGTCTTGAGGCCTTATCAAGTCTACAGGTTCTTCCTAGTACGTCCTCGTTTCAATGAACACACATTTCGTCATGTCAGTCCCTGGCCTGAAGTTATCTCCAAATATATGCCCACGCCAACATTAATACCTAAAGATAGATCCATTCCACGTTTTCAGGTGCAACGGACGTTTTGACTCCGCGTTCCATCACGCTATTTACAATTCCAGGAATGAAAAGTGAAGGAAAACCACCGCAATAATAAGTACAAGAATTATTAACGAAAACACTCTGGATGACCAGACCGAAAATTTTGATGGATATATCAACGACCAGATTGCCTACTACATATAGCCAAAACATCGAGAAGAAGAGTTTTGGGAGTATTCTCGATTAGACTTTACGAAATGGTTGAGTAATGATTTTAATGAGATTTCGCAGCATACGAGAGAGATTTTCCTATGCAGACTAGGCGATATCGGAATGTTAGCAGTTAAGTCAAACGGTCAATGCACGTAAGCAATACCACAGAATAATTAATATTCTCCTATGGAAGAGACAACAACAACTGGACTGTGCCGACACGAAGTGTACCCTGACGATCACTTAAGGTAATCTAAAAAAGCTTGTTCTGTGCTAAAGGCTAAGCCTATCTCTAAATCCTAATTATATGCAAGGCTCGGCACGCAGGTCAGCTCAGAAAACCAATAGCAGTTGAGACCGTAACACTGAATATATATCAGCAAGACTGATACTGCTGCGAAAGGATTTCCAATCTTGCTAGATTTGAGAGAGCCTGCGGAATGATCGGATATAGAAAAATATGAGATTATTGCTGCAGGAGTATTTAGTACGAGAAGAAATCTTAATCTCCCAGGAAGCGTTTTGTACTTGAGAATGTTGGGGCAATAGACGAAAATTAGACAATTACCCTTACCAAACCTAATATTAAATTCTTCTGATTCAAAGCTACGACCTATCCTAAAGTTTAAATAGTAAATTCAGGAACCTAGTAATCTAAAGGATAATTTCCAAACGACTCTTGGGCTAACTCCCACTATTCAAGAGGACGCACATCAGTTAAAGTTATAACAGTCATTTAATCTTCTGGTGGCTCATTATACGGCGTCCAAGCTTAGCACACACTTTACCAAGAAGAGAGTAAATACAGCGGTGCTGAAGAGGTTATTGACAAAAAGGTGCGCATGTTATACGACCTGTGCTGCAAGGCAAATTCAAATCCTCCTGAATACTCCAAAGCTTTTGCCACCACGACCACGTATTATATATTCATATATCTTTGAAATGAGGTTATATATCGACAGGAAACGAAGCTACAAATGGCACTTGAAGCACTGAATGGAACTATGCGGCTAAATGGCTTAATTTCAAGTGTTCTTGTGTTTGGGGTCTGTCCACGAATAGCTTTATCAGACGTTCCAGCTGCTTCAACTTTCATCAACGCTGCTACCATGAATTAAGCTTTGGTACGAGCAAGGTACTAGACGCCCTCAATACTAGAAATGGGCCATTCAGTGCGCATACTAAGACACTCCCTCTGATATCCAAAGTTTTTATTTACAAAGGCCAGGGCTGGTTAGGACTTTTTAATCTTGTCGGGATCGATAATCAAACCTGTCAAGTTAATTTTGATAGTTGTGCTGTCAACATCCGGTATAAATCTGTACAGATATATCTCAAGAATGAAGAGCTGAATGCCAACTTGGACCAGCCAGGAACTGTTTGCCAGCATGACCACAGAGAAAATACGTCTCGGATTCATATTCCTGATCCAGCTCCACAGTAACTTCGATGCAGTCAAAGAAACCCCCATCCCCGATATTCTAGATATGCGACTACAATTGCGGCTTCTTTAAAGGACAAAATTTTCGGTACATCCTTCAACCATATAACAGAAGTTAAACAGTTTATCCAAGTCGACGTGTTTTTCTCTGAAAAGAAAAACATGGATCTCGAGATCTCGGCGGAGCTGCGAAGAAAAGGAGTAATCATGACTCCTGGAAAATTTTGAATTCTCTCCCGTAGAATCTAATAGATGGATTGCTATCTCATGGCATTTATGGACTAGTTTGCCATGATGAGGTGCTTCACAATAGAGGAATCTTTGGTTCTAGGATGCCTGACGAAGTGAGATGTAAAGAAACTGCAGCGCCGTACGAGAAGTCACGTCTAGTAAGTCAAGCGTACAATGATCACGGGAAGAAGGAAATTTTGACGCAATCACCGACGATCCAACAGGTCAGCTGGCGTATAATTATGGCAATGGCCTCTTCACTTTCATCACGCAGTATTCCAATTTTTCTCAGAGACATTACCCAAGCCTATGTACAACATAATCCTAGGCTTGCATTTCCTGTCTATGCTACCTCGACATAGTAAATGTGCGATGAATTCCTTCAGAAAGACATTTTCGAAATACCCAGGCCTCTTTTCAACATCCTAGAACCAGGAACCTAATAGTATCAATGCTATGATTAATGACATAGCTTCTCCTGCATCCTTTAAGTGTGAATCTTAGAGACATAGAATTAGACGATCAAAATGGAATAGACTGGAGTGAGATAGGATAGAACAGTATGTGTGAGCAGATGCTTATCTGAGCATAGTCAGCTCTAGTCAAAGAGTCATGTGGCACATGAAGATTACGGAGTCGGGTTTGGGTCTGGGAGCAATGCAGGTATTGCAGATGATCCGAGCGCTTATATACATAGGGATGGCGCTCTTCTTGTATGTGCCAAAAATAGAGAACCTTAGTGATCTAATTACAATACGAGATTGAGCCAATTACGTAAACAAGGTAGCATTATTTAGGAGACGATTCATTCACAATACACGTACAATATTTCTGGCACGCTTCTCACTCAGAATTACAGTATATTTATCTTACAGGATCACTTCGAAAGACTTATAGTTGGCCTACTACTCATAAGTTGTCTCTCCGATTCTAGTACTCTGACGTAACGAGAGTATTTATAACAGGATATCTTCATCAGCATTTGGATTATCAAAGGCTGACCGCGAAGTTATAGCTCAGGCCGGAGGTGCTGAACTGTCCGGAAACATTGAAAGTCAATCTGGCCCAACAAAGGAAAATGCTGGTTTTGCAAATGTAAGAGGACGAAGTGAAACTATGAGACCACCGACAAAGTGGAATACTTCGTTTCGAGAATACGAAAACGATGCCATGTTACCACCCCCAAAAGTTGAATTCATGGGTGTCGGAATACTCGAGTGGTATTATATCACAAGCCTTCTGTAGCAGTAATAACAATTGGTGGTTAAAATATATCTTCTATTTCTTCCCTTCTAACTAAAAGAAACACGTAAATATAGCAGTTGTCTCTCTCTCCTGACGCCATTCCTAAACAGGTAACTCATTATTCATCAACATAATTAGTCATCATTTCTAATATAATACATGAAAGGTCATTAAGTCATTAGGTCATTCGACAATGAGGAAGGGCAAAATGAAGTCCACCAAGAGGACTGATGTTGAAAACATTGAATCAATCAACATGCCACCCGCACAAGGAAGTAGCGACTGGCTTGGTGCGAGATACGGAAAGCCTGCAGTTTCTGATTCTCGAGGGCTTGGGAGAAAAACCACACTTGACTGGAAGTCACTTGAATTGAACCCCCATCACTCTATATTCATAAAAGGCATATCTAATTGGGGATCCTATAATTCCGCCATTACTTTACAACTGGAAAGTATAGGTTATGAAATTGGGGCTAATTTGACAACGCTGGACTAGTTGAAAATTGCAGCACTAGTCTAGCGGACTTCAGAAGCAGTAGTTTCAGCAATAGTTGATGACATGAAGGGCGGAACAGCTATTCTTGATCTTTATGATTCTAATTACCGCCAATCAGGTGAGATTCAAGAAGATGCTTTATACAGTGATCTGTCAGATTAACGGTATGAGGGTGGTTGTCCCATTCTATTCGTGTCTAAGTTCAAATCAGTGATCAGAGACTATCAGTCTGCAGGAGGACAATTAGGACCGAGACAGCTTACATCTATTTTCAAGAACGCAGTTAAATCAAATCTAGAAGGTGGCGCGAATTAACGCCAACCGTGGCTCGGTTCCAACCTTGGACCGCAGAAAAATTGATACTAGACTTCATCTCGCATAACCACCATCTTGTTGGCCAAATTAATGATTCGACTATTTTCAATAGTATCAATAGGAAACTTGGTACCATCAATAACGCGCAATATCATAGATATGATCCCCGTCGACAAACAGCCAAGAAGCTCAAAGGAATTGGTCCTGATGGGAAACTTTGATGCTAGAACTATAATGAGGAAGGTCACACTTCAAGAGAATGTCCCGAGAAAGACGAAGGATCTAATTAAAAGAGAGATTTTTCGAAAAGAACACCAAAAGGTCTAGGACAACCACCCGTGCTTGTGGCAGAGTATTGTAAAATCTTAGATGAAGAAATTGACTTAAATTCACATGCCGCCCAAGTTAATCAACAGGCATTCGATGACTCGGTGAAATTTTACGATACAGAAACGGCACGACGTCGGAGTCAAAACTTTAAAGACATTGAAGAAATTTGCGCCGAAGAAAAAGTTGGTGAGATTCACCTTTCACAACAGATTCTTAGTGCAAGTAGTAGTAACGAGACAAAGAATAGGTGTCTGTTTGATACGGTGGCTGACATAGATGCCACAAATAATTGACGCAACCTCGAACCTGTGTAACGGCTGGTAAGCCGATTGGTCCCTGTAGCCTATGTTGGTTAACTTAGGCCTGATTCGAGTGGCGTTATTAATGACTACCAATGCACTAGTATGCGACGCCACCCAATACAATACTTTTGCGTCGGCATTTGCATGGTATTCACATGGCATCGGACTCGATAGTGCAGCACGGCAGTACGGCACTGCACCACATGTTGATAGGCTTACACTGACTGGAAATACACGAGACCGAGTACAATCACTCCGGACCATAACGCGATAGTGCTGTATTACAGGTATAGTCAGAACACTAGGGGAGTCCCATAGCATAGGAATAGGAGAGGGATTAGCCTCGGTGGCGAGGAGGCTTTCACGTACATAAATGAATAGATAGATGTAGTGGAAGTTCTCTCCTTAGAATTATTATTTACTACCATCGATCACATAGTTGCTCCAGCACCTGTCCCTCAAAACCGTGACAGCCAATATTCAACGAGCTGGATTGTTCATTTCCAACAAAAACCAGCAAACATAAAGTTTCGTCTCTTTGACGAGAGCGGACCGGCAATCCCCTTCTCACGCCGACGACCGATCGAGCAATGCCAACGTTGCTGGGGTTTTCACACCACGCGTTCTTGTGCCCGGAGCCAACGATGTGGACGATGTGGGGGAACCCACGAGACATCAGAGTGCTAGGCCAAGGCGTTAAAGTGCTCGATTTGTGCGGGACCCCACCACTCAAATGAGGGTAGCTGTATGGCCCGGCCAAGACGATGAAACGGGATAATTTTGCCCCCTACCCCTGCAGAACTTCGTATCATCAGAGAATGCGAACACCGTGATTATCACGCTGCTCTAGCGTACTCAGAAAGGAAGGGTAAGGCGATTGAAACCGTCATTGCCTAGGACTCAAAAATGTCGTGTTGATGTTAGGAAACCCCTTGACAAAAGCACCAAAAGACAAACACAACACTGCCCAATTTGACCAAGTGAATGTCGGAAGGGGTGGGGAAAACACGGGTATAGCATTGCAGCAGGCATGGGATGCCGGTGCACATGTAGTCATGGTACAGAAACCATGGACAAGAAAGAAGGAGGGGGGTTTTATTACGAAAAAACACCCCGACTATAATAGCCATATACCATTTGGAGGAACAGATATCCGGCCCCGCGCGATTACTTTCACGCGCATAGGTAGTCATACGACTAAGCTATTTCCACCGTCGTCAGGCCCAACATCTGACTACTGTTTTGTAAAGATAGGCGGTCTGACCTTTGTCAACGTATATCGTGCCCCAGGCACTAGTGGAACCTTGGAGCCCCTACTACGGTGGGAAGTTAGAGAACTAGTGGTTGTTGGAGGCGATTTCAATTCTGTGTCTCAGCATTGGCAACCACTAACGACTAATCAGTACGGCAATGGTAACCAGATTATGGAATGGGCAACAGCCCACGACACGGATCTAGTCAGCATTGTTGGTGAGGCAACGTACAGGAACGGGAACGTCCTGGATCTAACGTGGAGCAACATGGCCGCCATAGCATCAGTGTCCAACCGTTACCACTGTACCTTAGATCACTCGATCATCGAAGGTGCCGTGCTTAATCCTACAGTGTCAGATCTCTCTGGAATTGTAAGGAACATCCGTGTCAGCGACGCCAACTTGAAGGAATTTAGCCGATGCGTTAGCCAATGGACAAAGCCAGGCCCTCTTGACAGTATCATAGACATCGAAAATTTCACGAATGATCCCCTACAAGCACTAGGAAGTGCGCTGAAGATCGCAGGGAAAGTCTAAGCCATCGAAAGCGGAAAACCCGGGCCATGGTGGACCGATGAATGTCGCACAGAATGGCAAGAGTGCAAGGCAGCGAGAGACGACCCCGAACTTTCGTCTCAGGCACGGAAAAGCTTCAGAGCCGTGGTGCAAAAAGCCAAGCGAGAGTACCGGAAGAGGCAAGTGGAGGCAGTGACTACTGACGCACAGGTATTCAAGCTCATGCGATGGGTTAGGCCTCGATCAGCAGCTGAGGCCCCTCCTCTGTAGATTGACGAAAACCGGTGGCTATCTGACCCGCGAGAGCGAGCTAGTGCGCTACGAGACATTCTCTTGGCAAGATTCAGCGGCTATAATGATATTCCAACTTGGGATAATGGACAGGAGGAGCGTACTCCATGGGACACGAAAATATCACTTGATGATTGTTGGAAATGGAGACACGGAGTGTTGTGGACGTATGGGCCCTCCATTTCGTCTAGGTTCCCGACACGATCTTGTGTGTACATAAGAGGTTGGAATAGGTAATATGGTAGCGCTTCAGGCTACCTATTTGACATATTAGCGGCTGTATGGCGTGGGCGCAAGGAGGTTATTGGGGATTTTCTATGCCTACATGGCGCCACACTCGTTTATGGTGTGGCTTAGGCTCTGTGTCGCTTACACTTGTACTTGTAGCGCACATCTCCCACTCTTTTACCTTTAATCCGAACATGACACTCTTTTAGTCAACTTCTACTTTCGTTCCATGAATATTACGCCCATTTCATTGCGCGATACTTCCAACACCAACCCTTGATCATGGAGGAGACGCCATCCGATGAGTTTCCGGAACGTACCTAGCACCCGATACGGAGATGGTAGATTGGATCAAGTTGGCCTGTAATATTACAAGGGAGATATAGATAGATATGCGCAGCTGTTATGGTCCCGGTATCTAGGCCTCGCCTGGCTGGGTCTGCAGGTGTTTTGAGAATTTTTCCCGCGCACGCAGTTTCCATTGCTACTATTTTATTTTTTTGGGTAGAAGGTTCCGTGGAAAAGGTGGCCGAATTCGACAGATTAAAACTAAGGTGAATGGCTACTTATCACGGGCAGTATATTAATGATCTTTCAAGTAACATAATAAGCAAGGAGCACTGTACAAGGTGTAATCTGGGTCAGGGAGGAGCCCAGTATACTAGATAGTTATTAACCAATTAGCACAATAAACACAGTTCTCCCTCTCTTTTAGGACCCTAAATAAACCCCCAAAAAATTCAATCTTTACTTAAAGAAAGGTTCTAGGCCAAAGTCTATCCTTCTACATTTAAGGCCGATGAATAAATGAACATTTATTCGTGACGGACACAAGCCTAGTGCTCAAAGAGCATGATACGGAGAAGGCTAGTCCTTCCCCGATGACCATATATGACGATAATTCAGTTTGACATTTGGACCACTCGTGCAGTGGGCACATTCGCTGATACCGCTCGAGACCTTTACGCTAGGGACTTTATCCATTCCTCAACCATTAATATCCACCAAAAGGAAAACAGGAAAAACCTTTGGCTACCCTAACATGCCTTATTCATTTTGTATAAAGCCGCCGCGCGAGATATGGCCTCACATTCCTCCCTTTTTCGAGCGAGATAGGTGTCCAGGCTACCCGGACTTTAATTCGAGAAGATTACGACGAGGAGGCGAACCAAAACACCTTCCATCGTGGCCTGCTTTCAGAGTGTTGGTTGCTGTTTGGATCCATAGTAGCCTATGGTATCTAGATACTTTAGGCTTCAAGGTTAAGCGTGGCGTGCACGGGCACCTGCGTGAATGCTGATATGGATCCCTCATCATGTATATAGATTAGAGACAATCAACACACAACCATTTCACACCAGTACTCAAGCATATGCTAGACACCGTAGACTATTGTGTCATAGCTAAATAGCTGCATACGCAATTAGAATCTGATGCAAACCCAAAAAAAAAAAAAAAAAAAAAAAAAAAAAGAAACCGTAGCCACCGAGTGCTGCCAACAGTTGCACTATCCGAAGTCGTTGCCTCTACGCCCACAGACGCTCTTGACTCAAAAATATTGTAAAAATGTGCGTCCCAGAATGCCCATTTGCGACCCCATCACTTGTTCGTCCCACGTCCCAACTACCTGTCCTCCCTTTAGATGTACAGCCCTATTCCCGTAGACTGAGACCCCAGTTTGTATGTTGCGACTTAACCTCCTCTTTACTGGCATAAATAGCATCGTAATTTTGTGGCGGAAGGTGGCCGATTTCCGTTGAGGCAAACTACCCATTGCAATTAGAGTAACACCATCATCAGAAGTGAAGGCGAGGTGATGTAGAAAGATCGTGGTAGAGACTCGTGTGAAGATTTTAGGTCCAACATTTGTCGCGAAATCGTCGATTTCAGATATGCTTGAGGTTGCTTTCGATTTCGATTCGAATGCGATCCGTCTTGCCTATCCCAAATACGCAGAGTTTGCTGGGCGATTACACCAACGCCAATGGACGCTGAAGAATTCATCTTTGCCGGCTGGAGGATCAACGTAGTCCGCTAAGTTCCAAATCTAAGGCTGCCTTGCACTTCCACACCAATCCTAGAGCTAATGAGCCTTGGGCTAACGATACAAGTATCATAGCAGTCAAAAAACTTTGAAGGAATGAGCCCTCGGTCATTGAGGTTTAAGAGCGCATTGATTCAAGTAACTACCGAAGTGGCATTAAGGACATAATTTGTAGTCATGTGTGTATCAACAACGTGGGCTACTTGATACACCCAAATATTCCGACTTCTGGCTAAATCTAACAAAGCAAATAATGAGTTGGATTGAGTCAGAACTCCTCATCATGATCTCTCTTCCCTCAGCGGATCAGACCTAGCGTTTTAGTAGAAACTGTCCTTGCATGTGGCAGAAAATTAATGGGCTTTAGGCCTACCAAAGTAGCCAGTGCAAAGTATTTGAATTTTCAGACCCCACATGTGTAATGAGTTGCCTGGTGAGAGCATGTAAACTCATATGTCCTTCAATTCTACGCCATTGAGAATTGTAGCTCCGCCAGCGTATCATCGCAACTGCGAATTTGAGGGGAGTAATTTTTGACAATAAAGCTAAACCTTCACCGTGTTTGTCGACCTAGAGCTTCTATCAAACATCTGATGGTTTGGAACCTACTGATTTAGGTAATGAGAATCATTGGATATTGGGATGACACATCTTGGATTAACTTACTCGAGCTTTGATATCTCACCAGGGATATGGTGTTCAGGATGGTCAGGACAGTCAAAGCTCCAACTTGAGATCTTTTGATCTTCAACACATGTAATATATTTCATATGTATTTTTGGGAAACGAGGAGAAGATAATCTCTCCTCGGGATAGTTTCAGATGGGTATATAGCATCACTGCTAGAGAGGAGTTGAGGAGCAGGGATTTCATTAATACAACTTTACTTTACATTTTTCATTTGACCCTCAGTGTCTAACAGCTTCTTCCAATATTAGTTATCCAAAAGTATCTAAAACGAACTCAATACATTTATAGCGCGGCTATTGCACATATCCTGCTTGAACCCAATGAGAGAAACTTTGTTTATATCGAGATGGGCACCAATATAACATAGACTGCATTTCAGACTAGTCTGAAAAATACAACACAGCATCATCTCGCCTGCCACAGCCATCACTTGTGTTAAACAGTCGGTGGAGTAGAGGTTACTTGATATTGGTACAAATTTGATCGGTAAGGTAACTTGGGGAATACGGACATAATTCCGTAATTTTTTGATATAGACATAAATAGGGAAAATGGTTCGGATAATTTGAAAATGTATACAGCTGATTGCAACTTTCATTTTTTTATAGTCTTTCCCTAGATAGATTGTAAATAGGAAAAGTGAGAAACAAGTCAGGACGAGTTTAAGCTATCGGCCTTAAAGTCAAGTTTAGATGTTAAGTTGTAGAATATTGTATGGCATACAATAATAATAAGGTAGTTGATTCAAGTATACCAAGCAAATTGAAGAGTTCTCTGTGCCCTCTTTATGACCTATGCAAAAATAAGTCACTCAAAAAGACGTCATTTTTCTCGATTCTGGATATATCACTGTTATTCATGGAAACGTTTGGATTTCTAAGTGAAGTCTTCGCTAGTAACATGAAAGATGTCCCTTAAGCACACAATTTACGCCTAACTTATTGAAAGTCATTCTATCGAATCAACAAATCAGGATCAAAACTTGGTCGCATTACATGTCATACTTCCGCTCATGATCCTTCGGAGACGGCTAAAAGCGATAGTAGAGATGCTGTAAAACATTCCAAACCGTAGTAAAATCATAATTTGAACAAGTTAAATGGTGGCAACCAACTCAAGAAGCAATAATTACAATCACTTTAGCTTTCATCTGCTACAAAATTACAATAACATCAAATTAAGTCAGCGTCTACAACAGTTAGCACCCACTAAGCTGATCCTCGTCATTTACATGACACATGTGGAAAAGAGAGTAAATTTAGTTGAGTGATTTTCATCTCTAAGGCTCACGGATATGAATAAAGAACTTTTAAATGTATTAGTATCATTAAGAAATAAAATCCGAGAAGCTGTGCGAGACTGAAGACTGCAAAAATCGATCCGATCAATCAGGCACCAACTTGTGTATATTCTCGCCATTCTAGTTCATGTTTAGACAGTTTTACACGGATTTCCCAAAAATTTGAGGTTGACTTTTTTGGTATAATCATTCATTGACTACCCTGAAAGCCATGAAATTTTATTTTCATCTTTTGGCACTGAGACGTTGATTTCTCGGAACATGTATATTCCTTTTCACGTTGTCAAGAAGAAGGTTTAAAAGTCGCATGTAGTACATTGATGCATGCTTCAGATTGAACATGGAAGATAATGAGCCTATGCCAGACGAGTTCAAAGGGGCTGTCTAATAAATTGTCTTAAGGCTTTTTCTAAATCTCCGTCGTTTAAACGAAGCAGCTCGTTTGCTTTGGATTTGGAGAGCTCCAGTTCTTCAACCTAGGAACGAATGGTGATTAGCTTCTGCATTGAAATGTTTGAGGGTAAGCTTAAGAAAACTCATGCCAGGTGGGTAAGAGAAAACTTGGCTACTGAATTGAGTATGACGCATCAAAGTAGAAGTTTAGGATAAACATCTTAGGCAGATAGGGACATACTATAAGATTGATATCTGCAGGAGCATATTTAACGCTCTTGGCGAGATTATTGGAATCAACTTTCCTTTGTACTACTCCATTCGAGTTACCGTCATCTAAACGCTCCATTGCTTTACGAACAGCCTCATGATCGATATCTTTAGCATTATTAGAGTCTTCATCTTCTCTTTCGATAGAGGATAGGGCCGCAGCAGCTTTTCGGTCTTCGGCAGATTTGGAAACCGATTTTTCTTCCTCCATATCACCGGAAGTATCTACCTCAGATTCTTGTTTATTTTTTTTGTTCGACATGGTGCAGTTGCCTATTTACGGCAGGAGACCGAAACAGCAATTAGTGTTGTGTAAATTACAAGGGCGTTAGGGAATAATATTTATTTGTCTTTAAGCGCGGAATTTGTCTGCCGCATCATTTGTCTGTGAACTGGATGCTTTATTTATGCACTGCCTAGTGCAACTTATGTACATGTAATAAATACCAAATTCTGTTAATGGGTAGCCGATATTGCGTCCTAATCGTAGTCAGCTCCAACACCTCAGGATGTTTCACGCTCCTTCATCATGTTCCGATCTGTAAAATAAATACGCTCGTAACATACGGTAATAAAGCTACACAGAATATCATCGGTGACCGCTGGGGGACTGATACTATCATATTGTTCAACAATGAAGTTCAGTCACATCTGGCAATACAAAAGGTCTTAGCCCACGAGATAATATGGCAATTATCCCACTGTATCAATCTTCCACTCCTTATAAATTACATTCCAACCAAAACCTCATATAGTCTGTAAATATGACTCTGTATACAATCATTAGAATAACCACAACTCGTGACGGATAGAGAAACAAATGTTTTCGAGGTATATAGCCAAGGATACTACCCACCCCATTTCGGACAATAGGAAAAGAAGCTTTACTAAATTGTATAGATACATCTAAATGCATGGCAGCAAACAAAGAAAGTGGAAATGGAAATGGAAATGATGGAAATTTGATTGATAGATTGCATGTAAGAACGGAGTTTCGGGGGTTAGAATTATATATTAATTGTGTCATAGCAAGAATGCTGAATGCACTGTGAATTAGTAAATACTTGTGTAGAATTACTCTGTGGCCCCGACCAGTCTTGAAACACACGCCCACTATATTATGAGCACTCATAGCTGAAGAAACATCTTCTCGCGTAAATTGCGCGAGGTGAATTGTCAGGATGAACTCGAGAGAGCTGACTACAGCTAGATAACAGTATGGCATGACTAGATACAAATTCGTAAGAGATGAAACTTAGTCTTTGGATAATTATTATCTACCATTAAGATGCATTACGCGATCTATGACCTTGGCTGTGAGAGAGCAAGGAAACTTTGAACATGGTCTAACTGATGGCTGTATGGCACAGTGGTACGTCAATCGGATCGTTCTAATAAAGAAGTGATTTGATGTGTTCTATGTACTATTTGAGCCTTTTAATTTCTAGCACATTAGGCTGCTCCTTGACCCAGGCCACATCTTATATGGAGCCTCTTGCCTCTTTCGTTACTCAATCTCGGCTCTGCAGACTCTACAGTGAGAGCCATAAGTTCGTAGGGGACACCACTGACAGGTGTTGAGAATAGTCCCCCACCTCATCAAATTTACAGATACGAACTAGTACACCCTCGTGTCAATAACTACACCTCTCGTCGACTTTCTCTGGCCTCAGCTGGTTGGCCTCTCCGAACGATTTAGAAGGGTCATTTTATGAAGAGCTACCACCAGAACAATAAGAGCAAAGTGAGCTGGCCGTAATATAGTCTTTTTTCTAATTCTCTAGGAAATGATATCTATCTAGGCTGATGGACATATATACAAGTATCTCTGACCCCAAGGAGGTTAATATCCATTGGATTGGAGATCAATCGCACTCTCGAGCTAATCCACCGACGATTCGTATTTGCCGGATCGGCAATCACTTATAATTGCACAAATGGCTATTGGCGACTAGTACATAGGTAGAAACAAGTACATGGGTGTAAGGCGCAGGCTGTAACATATTATGTCTTCGGATTTAGTCCTAATGTCAGTATTAGAAGAGCCCCATGTCCAGTTATCTTTGCAAATTTTCCCGACTATGATACAGCTGCAAGTAGCCATCGTTTGGATGGCTAGGGAGGGGAGATAATGAAGGGCGAAGGGCTCCTGTAGGTGTATGATAAAATGAAGACTTGTGAGGTGTGGCACTGTTGAGGGGAGCTGTATGGGAGGCAAAGATATCCTTGGCCTGTAGGCAGATAGGACCTGCATAACCTGTAAAGTCATAGACTAACACATGATAACAAAAATAAAAATAACTGTTAGGAGATGGAATAATTTGGGCTATCAGGTAGGTCACATCTTTTGCGCGTTCGTTACTATAAAACATGTAGTTAGTTTCTCTTCGATATTTGAATGAATGCGCTCTACAACCTCGATGGCTGAGGGGTCTTTTTTTTGTTTTTTTAATTCATATTTGTAAAACTTAGAGAGGTCTTCGTGCGAATGTCACGTGAATCGTCAAAAGGTAAAAGCGAACACAAGAATGAATTGATTAATTGACTCCTTGCTATGAGGGACTCGCCGGCAAAGACGAATTCTTCACCTTCCAGTGGTGCCGGTGTAATCGCTCAGTATGCTCTGGATATCTGGGATAGCCAAGAAGAATCGCATCCGAATCGAAGTCGAAAGCAAACACATGCATATCTCCATTTGACGACTTCTCAACCATGCAGCACTCATCATTATCTTCTGAGTCCTCAACCTCTTTCTAACCACGCATCATCCCGCCTCAACGACCAATAAAGAAGTTGCTCCAATTGCAAATAGGAGCTTGCCTCATTCATTACCGGCCATCACTCTCTACATATTTACGACGCTATTTATACCCACAAGGAGGAAATCAAGTCGAAAAATACAAAGTTGGGGTCTTGGTTTATGGGGAGACTGCTGCTCTAATGGGGTTATACATCTTGAGGAAGAACAGGCAGCTGAGATATGGAGCGAGATGGGAAAGAAGACTCTGAAGACTGTGTTGGGACTGACATTTTCGAGGAGTTTCCAACCTTGGATTTTTTGTGGGCGCCAGGACCAAGATTTCGGCTAATTAGCCAGGAGGGCTTCTTTTGTCGATGAGTCAACGGCACTCCCCAGCGCCCTGGACGGTACAAAAGAAGTTGGGCTAAGCTACTATACAGCAATCACGATCTGTCAAGACTTTTCTGACATTTCAGCACGACCTTCGGGAAGGAGTTGGAAGGAGGCTAGAAAGGCAGAGCGTGAATTTCCCGAGGTACCCACAAGTCTGCAGCGCCCAGCTGGCCGGCCTCTTCGAACGCTTCAGAAGGGGCAATATGTCTTCGGATTTATTCCTAATGTCGGTATTAGAAGAGCCCCGCACCCAGTGGCTTTTGCGATTTTTCCCGGCTGCCATACACCCGCAAATGGCCATCGTTTCGTTGGCTGGAGAGGGGAGATAATGAAGGGCAAAGGGCTCCTCTTAGTGTATGATCGAATGAGGACTTGTGAGGGGTGGTACTGTTTGAGGGGAGCTGTATGGGAGGCATAGGAGGGGATATACTACTGGTATAGGTATCCTTGGCCTGTAGGCAGAGAGGACCTGCATGTTCTACATAGTCATAGACTCAGACAGGACAATAAAATGAATTAATAATAATAATAATATGATAGACTCTAGTCAAGCAGACTACAAGGGGAACAGAGAACAGGCACGCCAAGAATCGAAAGCAAGACATTGAAGAATGGACCAGAATTTGTGGCCTGGAGAATGAGAAAGGGAGACAAAAAGAAGCCGGTAAGGTATGTATGTATGTTGTTGTTGTTGTGTGTGTTTTATTGTACTACTTGAGTCTATGACTATCTAGCACATTGGGCTCCTCTCTGACCCAGGCCACACCTTGTACAGTGCTCCTATCCTCATTTGTTACTTGAAAGATCATTGATATATTGCCCTTGATGAATAGCCATTCAGCTCAGTATTTACCCGTGGAATTCCGCCACCTTTTCCACGGAACCTTCTACCCAAAAAAAATAAAAATGGTAGCAATGGAAACTGCGTGCGCGGGAAAAAGTCTCAAAAAACCTGCAGCCCCAGCCAGGCGAGGCCTAGACACTGGGACCACATGAGGTGCGCATATTCATCTATATCTCCCTTCTTTGTAACAGTCGAGGTCGACTTGATCCAATCCGCCATCTCCGTATCAGGTGCTGGATACGCTCCGGAAACTCATCGGATGGCTTTTCCTCCATGATCAAGGGTTGGTGATGAGTAGGGCTCCGACCCTATCATTTGATCTGATCGTGGTTAGCTTCAAGATAGTGGTGATAGGGGAATGTGTTGAGAGATGAAGACGATACAGACCGCGGAAGCGATTGGGAACCCTGGTCGAAGTGAGGACTTTGTTACTCAATCTCGGCTCTGCAGACTCTACAGTGAGAGCTGGAGGTTCGTAGGGGACACCGCTGACAGGTGTTGAGAATAGTCCCCCGAAGCCGGTAAGGTGGCCGCGTTCCAGGAGTGGAAAAACTCATGGACACGTCCAGCAAACGAGATACCATCTGGTCATCGAGCTTCGGCAGACCCCGAACATTGGAAAGCCGCAAATATTATAACAGATGAGACAACTGGCAGAAAAAGGATTACATATAGAAACACACCCTCAAACATCCACCGAAACCTAAGTAGGGCCCAAAGCAGTATTGCAGTTCAGATAAGAAGTGAGCACATTGGTCTTAATTCTTATCTGTATCGAAAGAAAGTTCCCGGAGTGATTGATCCAATATGTCAGTGTGGATATCCGTCTCAAAATGTCAAACATATGGTCTTGGCGCGTCCTCAGTGGGCCATGGGAAGAGGAGAGGTGCTTCAAAAGGCAAAAGACAGGTCATTTGCGGCAATGATGAACAGCCCAGATGACATAGGGAGAATAACAAAATGGATCCTGGCTAAAGGCTGGTTTGAACAATTCCGGCTTGCAGGAGAAGTAGAAATAGCATTGGACGAAAGGATGAGACGATGTGGACAAGGATAAGACGGATTTCACACTGTATAAACAGTGTAGTCGCACTTCCTCTAGGAAACCTCAGAAACAAAATGGAAACGAGACAGAGAGTTGTAGGGGGTTTTTACCGAATATGGTTTCCTCCTGTGTAAATATTATAGCTAGTTATACCTGCATGGGCCCATAGGGTACCTGAACGGGCTAAATGAAATCAAATTAAATACGAGGGACTCGTAGCACTATAATATCTAATTCTAC